GCCAAACTCTCTTGTTGACAGAGATTCGCATAATTGACCATAATGGTGACAGTTAGTACCACACCATCAGTTGCAATTGAACTCCTCACTTACGCCCTCCCATATATATTTGGAAAGAGGGACCAAGTGTACAACGCACAGAGTGCAACAAGCGGCCATTAATATGCTGCATCATTGAGGGGAACGGGCTGGGAATGTCTTCGGATACTATGCCTACCATAACCAACCACAAGGTGACCTTCAACATCTATTTTTCATGAATGAGATGAGTGAGATCGGAATAAAGCCGACCTACTAAAGGCAGACAGTTGCTGGTTGACAGATGGCTCCAAAACTCCCGAGGGAACAGGAGCCGGAGTACATAGCTACAGACTAAAGGTAAGGACATCCCAAGCCTAGATACTAATGCAAATATATTTCAATATGAGGTTCATGCCATTGAACTATGTGTGCGAAGGCTGGAATACATCCTGCACGTAGATCAACAAAAATGTTTTCAGGTAGCCAAGCAGCTTTAAAGCTCCTAACGGTGTAATTCTTGGTTAGTATGAAACTGCCAGAAGGCTCTAAATCATTTATGCAAAAACAATAAAGTAACTTTGGTCTGGATACCTGGCTACTCTGATGTGAAAGATAACGAAATAGCCGACTCTTTGGCCAGAAAAGGAGCAGGGTCACGAATCATGGGACCAGAATCGATACTTAGCAGATCCTCGTATCCTACTGCTAAGATGGCAACCTTAACCTACGCAGAAAGAAAAACTCACCAATATTGGCAAGAGTTACCAGGATTAGTTCATTCGAAGGCGTTTATAAAATACCCTTTGAAATCAAGAGCTAAGAAACTTTTAAATATTGTGCAGTATCGACTAAACTATCATCTGTATAAACTTCGCCTGGCGGAAAACGCCGAATACCGCCTTTGCCTAGAGGATGATTAGAAGGCAAACAAGGTCATATGTACCTATTCCGCTGTGGAGAGGATCCGATTCTCACTATTTGGCAAAGGGCAACTGCTGCCAGAGAATCTGGACACACTCTCACCCAATAAAATTTTCAGTTTCATTAAGAGACGGAACTTATTGGCTAAAATATAATTAGAAGTCACAATAGGCATGGCCAGTGCAGAGCCTATAAGGACCCACTCACAGAAAACCTAATCTAATCCAAATTATATGTAGATGGTTTTTAGGTATTGAAAACAAGAAACACCTAGCAATTTAATACAACACCGTTTCTCTGGTGGGTACAGTTGCTTAAAATTATTAGTTAACTAATTTTCAAATGCATCTTTCAACACTCGATAACAAAAAAGTTGCTCTGTGTTTCTTTAATATAGACGCAGCTTAATATTCACAGGTGTAGATAATTATTTATATTTTATCTATTTTTCTTAAACCACTGGACTTCCCAGATAAGAATAAATTACATATGTAAATTATGCAGTATTTTCACGAACTCATGTTGAACCCAACCTTCGAGGAATATTAAAACGAGACATACTTCTTGTGTTTTAAATATGTTAATTACGTACTACTGAATACATTGTTATTACTTTTATTATACTCTTTATTAACATGTGGTTACTCTGAATCATTAACTGTTTTTTATCCACACCGGAAGTGCGGCTGTATTTATCTTCGGAATAAAAATCATATGTATGAAGAAATTTCCTATTTTAATTTTAAATGAAAAAAATAAATTAAACAAAATTTGACAATTTTATTGTGACATATTATTATGTAGGTTATTTAAATAATAAAATCTTGACATAATTTGTAAGTAAACGTTAATGAACAAGGAAAAAATATAAAACAAAAACAGTTTGTAAAACTGACTTTTTTTATGCGAGAATATGAAAAGTCTATTTGTATCGGTTGTCTGTTATTTGTAGGGCAATAAATTAAATTTAAAAAAAAAACAAACACCACAGGTAATACCACCCCTGTTAGTCTAAGATCCGAATTACAGACGACCTTCACCCATCCGTTTAATGGATGAAAAATATTTTATATTAATTTTAATATGTTATAAAATATATCGCGATGGGTTGGCTAAAGAATTCCTGGCAAGACTATGATTAATTAAAAATTCAAAAATAACTTTTTTTAAACATTGCACTCATTTGTTTAAGGAACAAATTTTATTCCAATCCAAAACTATGAGGCCTATAGAATATGCAAACGTTAGGTTGCCTATTTTTTTCCTGGCGTAACTATTGGGTTGGCAGGTATAAACAGGTAATTCGATACTAGTAATTTACATTCATCTGTTTAATGAATAAATCTTATATCAAAATAAAGGTAATTAAATTGCGAACAGAATGATATAGGGTTGTCTGCGAAAAAATCTGGTTTAAATTCCGGTTGGCGAGCTTTAAAAAGCGAAATATTGGTGAGAATGAAAATGTGCGACAAAGAGGTCCGAGCAAACTATCCGGTGCGATAGAAGAGGACGCAGCATTGCAGCTGTGCGCGGCTCGTCCATTGGATGAAAGAGAGTGCGCATACTATTTGTTGTGCAATTGAGAGGGGTAGCGATAGACTAGTAAATACTCTGAGCATTATTTTGGAGCAACTGGCAGTAGACTTGAAATAAAATTATAAATATATAATATTAATAAATATAAATAAATAATATATAATATTATTTGTGATATTATAGTATATAAATGTTCTTCTAAATAAAAATATGATAGTGATATATACTTATCGTGAAAGTTTTATGTGTTTTATCAGGAGACTAAATAAAAATAAACAAAGCAAATAGTCAAAAAATAAATAAAAATAATGCTACAAAAATGTTCTTATAATATAATATAAATACAAACATATTTTACTAAAGTCGCATGAAAATATCCTCACGAATGATATTACAGAAAGTCGCAGAAATCAGATAATTTTTTGGTTTATTTGTTTAACAAAAATTCTTTAAAGAAATAAATATAGTTTTAAAAAACTAAAAAACACGCTTTTAAAGCACATCAAACTAAAAAGTGAAAAATAATTATTAATATAAACTGAAAACAATAATGAACGAAAAATACTAGTATTATTGTGAAAAAAGCGTGGGTTGCTCGATATACGAAAAATATGGCACAAAGCGCCCCACGCATTTTTTCACAATAATACTAGTATTTTTCGTTCATTATTGTTTTCAGTTTATATTAATAATTATTTTTCACTTTTTAGTTTGATGTGCTTTAAAAGCGTGTTTTTTAGTTTTTTTAAACTATATTTATTTTTCACTTTTTAGTTTGATGTGCTATGAAAGCGTGTTTTTTAGTTTTTTTAAACTATATTTATATTGCTTATTGATGCTGATATTATAACATATTACGATCCAACAGATACTTCTGAAAAAAAAAATTTTTTTTCAGCCATAGACAGGATTTGAACTCACGCCCGAGGAGTCCGTCGTTTCGCGTCGACTAAGACTTGCGCCTTAGCCCGCTCGGCCAACGAACGAACTGAGAATCACGGAATGTACTAACAGTAATAAGCCACTTGCTCTCACACAGAGGATACGTGAGGAAAGGAAATTATTTAATTCTGACGATCCTGATCAGGATAATGATATAAACTTATCAAATTATTGTATTGTTACCGGTTCTTCGTAAGTGTACAAAGTTTCAATTAAATCTGTCCGTTTAAAGTGGGTCAAAATCGAGTCCAAAGAGTCGGTTACAAACAAACAAACTCACAAACATACAGGTGAAGCTAATAAAAGCGTGTTAATGATGAAAAGCTAACGTGTCGAAAATTGAAAAAAAAAACATAATAGGTTAGGTGCAAATATTAAAATTTTTTTTTAAATAATTTGTTTGGCCAAAACAAAATTAAAAAATTTCAAATTTCACGATCTTCAGTGTCATTATTTCATTATAAATAAAATATAGAAGATATATTTACTATTATATTATAATTTAGAAGATTCATTTACTCTGTACTTACTGTATTTTCCGTATAAAAGTTATTAAATTCTTCATTATATTTATTTCCTAAAGCAGTGATTTTTTTTATAACACGAGGTATAACCAACGCGTTGGTTAGCACAACTTCATTGTATTTAAAGTTCTTTTTTTTTACGAAAAGCCAACTTCAATGAACAATTTTTAAAAGTTTCATCATTAAAATCAATTACAGAATCATCCGAGTCACACAAAAAATACTTTTTAGCCATTTTTTATCATAATATATTGTCAATTAATAACAACGATGCGTAGTAGCACGTTTTCTTGATTCGAATATTGAGGCTCCACAATAATGCTCAGAGTATTTACTAGTCTATCGCTACCCTCAATTATTGCACGAACAAATAGTATGCGCACTCTCTTTCATCCGATGGACGAGCCGCGCGCAGCTGCAATGTTGCGTCCTCTTCTATCGCACCGGATAGTTTGCTCGGACCTCTTTGTCGCATATTTTTATTCTCACCAATATTTCGCTTTTTAAAGCTCGCCAACCGGAATTTAAACCAGATTTTTCGCAGGCAACCCTATATCATTCTGTTCGCAATTTAATTACCTTTATTTTGATATAAGATTTATTCATTAAACAGATGAATGTAAATTACTAGTATCGAATTACCTGTTTATACCTGCCAACCCAATAGTTACGCCAGAAAAAATAGAAAACCTAACGTTTGCATATTCTATAGGCTTCATAGTTTCAATTGGAATAAAATTTGTTCCTTAAACAAATGAGTGCAATGTTTAAAAAAAAGTTATTTTTGAATTTTTAATTAATCACAGTCTTGCCAGGAATTTTTTAGCCAACCCACTCGCCATATATTTTATAACATATTAAAATTAATATAAAATATTTTTCATCCATTAAACGGATGGGTGAAGGTCGTCTTTAATTCGGATCCTCTATTATGTATCCCTGAAGGTACCGCAAGCTACCTTGTGTGGGAACGTGCTACACATTTGGAGACTATGGACACACATCCAATGTTCAAGTATGCTAGGATTAATTTCTGGTTTAGAACAAATCTAGCTTTTCAACCGGGGCTTGGACCCGGGACTCCAGGGTGAATGCCAAGTGTCTTCACCACTCGACCACGAAGCCACACAATGTTTAATCAATTTTTTTCGTTGAAAATCAATACACGGTGGATGGACCTGTTGCATCACAGGAATTAAGTAGGCTATAATACGGATCCTTGCAAAACAGAGTTTGTAGACCACTTTTATGGTACGACTACATTAACCATAAAGTAATGAAAGTGGTATCCACAAGCACAACTGATCTGGTAATCTGTTTAAGAGGCCTCCGTGTCAGGCTTTATCAAATGCTGAAAACTGGTGAATTCCGTTGTAATTATTTACAAAACAGAAAGCAATGCATTGTGTTTAATGCATTTCTGATAATGTAATTATCTCAATGAGAAGTGCCACAAAGATGGCCATTGGGCCCTATTTTCTTCACTATTTTTAAATGATTTTTCCTACCCCATTAGGTAATTTTAGTGTACAAATATATGCTTTTGATACACATGTATTTCAATCAGTTGATCCAAAAACTTTACAATACAAATAGTAAATAGTGAGTTTTGTCTGAGGATTTAAGATTTCGAAAAGTTGTATGTAATATTACATGAACATTCATTATATCTAAATCACACAAAATATGTTAGTATGTTTTCTGGCAGGTGAATTGAGGGATCGTATGTCTAACAAACATATTTATAAAAAATATTTCAAAAGAGAAAGGAATTAAGGAACATGTTGTACAAATAACAGTTTCTGAAGTGTTTCATGGGTGTTTGCTTGTAAGTGTGCTGTCCTTCTCGGCAGTGAGTTTTCATGAGAGGGAGTTTTTACATACAATCTGTATACAAATACTCGAGCTGCATAAATACATAGTTTGTATATGAATATGACACAATTTTTATTTTATAATTCTATAGTACCAATAATATATTAACTTAATAATACTTATGATAATTGCCTGATGTAGTTTTCATATCCATGTTGTGAGAAAAGATGAATAATTTTCATATGGCTTATCAAGGACATTGGATAATGCCATTTAGCTAAGACTGGAATAGATTGGATTAAATAGTAGAATTCTTAGTATTTTGAAAAGTTTAATCATTTACCAGAAATCTATATTTAATTGGGCAAATGCAAATTATTACTACTATCTATTCTAATTTTTTTAAACCATGGCATAAATACGTCACTAGAGAAGCAAACATTTTAAAAGAAATAGAGCTGGCACTCAAATTCAGATCGTTGCTAATAGTTTGAATTCATCAATAGCATTAAGAAAAACATAATTACAGTTACCCTCCTGACACAATTAGCCACGGAGTACGTAATAAATAACGATATAAAGTTTTCTTGCTTATGAATCTGCAGGTTAAAAAATGCGCCAAAATTATATCAAAAGTATCATATTTATCTGAAAAAATATATTTGTATTAATTGTGGTATAAAATAGATATATTTATAACTATCCCATTTTTCACATAAATACTACAAAGCATTTTTGATTAAGTGCTTATGTATTATGGATACTTATGGTGATAATTGTGGTACTTTCCATATGAGGAGCTTATTTTCAAAACGCAATTTCTGACAAAACTTTTGTAGAGATATGAAAGGTATTTAACTTGTTTTAATTACCTCTTTTAAAAACCGTATATTTATTTGAGCAAAATGCAATTTCTATAACTTAAAATACATGATAAATATAGGACATATTTGTTCAGTTATAGAAAATTATGCAATTACTTCTAAAAAAGCTTTTTCAGAAATTGCATTTTGAAAATAATATGAAGAATCCTGATTTCTAACTATGATATAATCTAAACAACACTCGTAGATGTGGATAAATAAAATAATTTCTTTAAGAAAAATATATAAATTTATTTATTGATAACAAAAACGTATTTACAAATTAAAAAAATACTGCAACAACAATTTAAAGCTTAAAGCAATGGAACATAATCTAAATAAATAGTTCTATATAATGATATATAAAAATTTAATTAAAATTCATGAAAATATGTGACGCCATCTTTGTCTAAACACATAAAAAGATTAATAGCTGTCTTCTTCGCTGTGTTCTTCTTGACAGCACATTCCCTAACTAGACGATCCACCTTTGCTTTATCGCTAACCGAGAGAGATATCTTACTTTTAATAACAGCCAAATCCAAATCACCATTTTCTTTTTGAAGACCTACTTTCACAGATTCACAAAGCATATGGGCACCAACTTGAGGATTGTCAAGATTTTGAGACAAATTGTGCAACAATTCATGATCTACGTATTGTGGCTGGATTGGACTGGCACTCATCATGGATGTGCTGCAGCTTATGTTCCTCAGCTTCAAGAATGCTGGCAGCCTAGTTAAAAGAAACGTTATATATAAGTGAAGCTAATTGACACTAGAAAACAATATTTCTTATACAAATAATAAGTAATTAAATAAATAATCATTGTATGACACTATTTTTGTCAAAAAGTCATATAACACATAAAAGTTCAATTATTATTACTAACGTTTTTGTTATGTTTGTGGCTATGAATACTTACCAAAGCACCAACAACAACACATGTAAAAACAAAAGCGGTTTTCATTTTGGCTGATATAAGCGATATATGTATATTCTGATACAGAGCTTGGTATTGTTGAACACTGTTGAATGATAAAAGTTGTATCTACTAGTCCTTATTTATAGATAATATAGGTATATGGTCGATTGCATTGGGCATCCCCGATATCAAGTATGTGAGTTTTATACTCCTTACAATCTGGGATATTTCACATTTCAGAGAATAATAAATAACAGAATCACAAGAATAATTAACAATGTTATTCTTGAGACAGAATGCCCACAAGGTAAAAATAATTTCTTGTTATAATCGTCGCAAATTAAACTATATTATTTAAATTACATTTTGCTATAAACTTTCACTAATACTATTCTTCTTATTTCTTTGATTTAACCTTCACAATTCATTTTTTATGCGCACGTTATTAGAAATACTGCTAATCTCAAAATTGCCATAAATTGAAGGAGGAAAGATGATGTAAAAGACATAGTGGAGATTTAATAATTAAAAAAGAATTGTTCTTATTTTATGTTAAAATACGAATGCATTTGTTAAAAATGTAAATCAACAAAAAAATTTTTTAACATGTTCTAATTGCTGTAATCCTCAAAATTTACGTAAAGGGTTTTTTAAAACTATTAAAAATATGTAGTATGACGTGGTCTCCCTCAGGATTGAGATAGGGGTAAATTTTAAATGGAAACTTAATTTGGAATCAGGTGTTGTAGATTATATAAAATTATTTTTAATAGACAGGGTGTGTCCCAGATTTTAAAGCATTCGCCGTCTTTGTTTGATTTTTTATGTAAATCTTTTCTACTTTTTGATTATTACGAAGTACACGGTGGACACTCAAAGTGGGCACTTCGATTTTACGACTTAGATATTGACACAAATTAAAAATTTTAAAACGGCACATACTGCATAAACCTACAGATACTGCTGCTATCGTTGATTTTTATTACCTACGTATAATTAATTGCTCTCAGTGGCAGAACTTGTAGCGTTTTCCGAAAAATATTAATAAATTCCTGGAAACTTATATAAAATAATTTTTTAACTAGAAAGGCATATTACAAAATACTCTATGATGTTATCTTATATTTACAATACCTTTAAATAACAGGTCTTGGCCTGTCTTAACCTACACATTCAAGAATATAGCGACATCTTATTAATAATAATTATATTATTAAGAAGATGCCGCTATATTCTTCAATCTGCAGGTGTAAACAGGCTAAGACAATTGCTATTGCTGTGACATATAATTACTTTTTTGGAACGTTCTCATTGGTCGAGCTTGTATAAACATTCAATAGCTATCCCTCCATCGGCCATCTTTATTCTCATTATTTATTGCTTTGACACATAATTAATTACTTTTTTTAAATGTATCAATATTCAACGTTACTACTAGCTACGCCTAGCAGCAATTTTTTTAACCTAAATCTATGCCTCTTGTATAGACCAAAAGCCTCTTAGCTCCCTCCTCTTAGCTGTTATATTAGATATGCCTATAGTTTTGGTCAAAATCTCCTCTGATACTAAAAATCTAGGTCCTATGCTATTACCAAAGCGTCTGAGCTCCTCTCTCATCCGATACTAAAATTTAAGTCGTATGCTATTAATCAAGCTTCTGGGCTGCCCCTCCTCCGATACTAACATCTAGGCCTCGGGTTCTAGGACCGTCTACGTATACATCCCTGCGGGGCCCGCTGTACGTCTCTAGCATCCATTTAGCTCTATATCTACGTCCTCCTGGTATAGTTCAAAGCCTTTTAGCTCCTCCCTCTTAGCTAGCATCTTAGATATGTCTATAGTATTTAGCTAAAATCTGCTCCTGTCCCGACTAAAAAAATATAAGTCCTATGCTATTGGCTCCTGAGCTCCCCCTCCCCTGATACTAATGTCTAGGGCTCAGGTCCTAGGATCGTCCATAGCTAACCCTCTCCAGCACCTACCCCCCTCTCCTATATGTCTATGACTAAATCGAAATCAATGTTAAAATTTTGGCTTTTGACGTAGTCAAAGAGCCCATGATATAAGCGATATATGTATTCCGTATGTTACCAAAAAAAAATTTGTTTTTTTCCATGAGAATACATGGGAAAGTGAGTTCATTTCCGCACTATCCTATTACTTAATAAAATTCTTGTCCTGACATTAATTTAATTATGTCTCGTTTTATTGTAATCCTAACTATTGTAGAGTTCTGAAGTAGACTAAATTATAGTCGAAATATTAGCGATTGAACTAAATTAGTTTCCATCAACGAATAGCTTAATAATAACCAAAATTAAAAGTGTTACAAAATAAAATTTTTGGATAAGATTAGACGAAACAATGAATGCAAAAGGAAATCATGTGACAAATGATTTAGTACGAATTTCAAACCCTGGTGGAGTTTGGAAAGCTTCAAGTTTGCAAATCGGCGCTAAACCGCGAATACCTCCAATATGACAAAATTCGTGAAAATTAGGTTTTTGCACATATAACCT